ATGATGATGATGATGATGATGATGATGATGATGATGATGATGATGATGATGATAATGCAAAAAAAACACCTGATTTCGACAAAAAGGAGACTTGAGATACTTGTAACCTTCAGGGTCGAAATGATGATGATGATGATGATGATAATGATGATGATGATGTAATTATGATAATGATGACATCGTAAACAGTTTCTTACCTGGACAACTAGCGTCAGGACACAGCGCCGTTTGTGAGACTCCGCCCACCTTGAGGCTCAGCTCTAGGGTCGGAACCTGGGCTTGTGGTGCCAGGTAGACTGGGGCGTGGGGAGCTACGTATGGGAGAAGTGGGGGTGCAAGGGGTAAGGGGTACGGGGCCATTGCTGGGGGGAGCATAGGTGGTAGAGGGGGTAGGGGGTATGGCTCCATCACTTGGGGGAATTGGGGTGGAGGGTAAGGGGCAATGACGGGTGGGAGTGGGGGAATAGAGTCGAGGGTGCATGGTTCTGTGACAATGGGTGCGGGCCGACTTGGGAAGGAGTCAGGGTTTGGTGCGGGTTGTGGTTGAGTGGGGTTAACTAATGGTGCTGCTGGTGGTTGAGTGGGGTTAACTATTGGGGCAGACGGTGGTTGGGTGGGGTTAGCAGGTGCTGGTGGTAAAGAGTTAACAACTGGTACTGGTGGAGGTGATGGGTTAACTATCGGTGCTGGTTTGGTGGTGTCAGATAATGATGCAGGAGGCTGTGTAAGGTTAACTATTGGTGCTGGGGGTGGTTGTGTGGGATTAACAGATGCTGGCGGTGATGATAGGCTAGCAATCGGTGCAGATGTTTCAGTGGGGTTAACTGTCGGTACAAGTGGCTCTGTGGGATTAGCTATTGGTGCAGATGGTGACGAATTCACAATCACTGCAGGTGGTTGTGTGGGGTTAACAACTGATGCTGGTGGTGGTTGTGATGGGTTAGAGCTCGGTGCAGGAGGTTGAGTGGGATTAGCAGGTGCTGGTGGTAAAGAGTTAACAACTGGTGGTGGTGGTGGTGATGGGTTAACTATCGGTGCTGGTTTGGTGGTGTCAGATAATGATGCAGGTGGCTGTGTAGGGTTAACTATTGGTGATGGAGGTTTAGTGGGGCTAACGATGGGTGCAGATGGTGGTTGTGTGGGGTTAACGATGGGTGCAGATGGTGGTTGTGTGGGGTTAACGATGGGTGCAGATGGTTGTTGTGTGGGGTTAACGATGGGTGCAGATGGTGGTTGTGTGGGGTTAGAAGTCGGTGTAGGTTGTGATGGTGGGTTAACTATCGGTGAGGGAGGTTGTGTAAGATTGACTGGTGGACCTGTTGGTGGTTGTGTAAGGTTGACTGGTGGACCTGTTGGTAGTTGTGTAAGGTTGACTGGTGGACCTGTTGGTGGTTGTGTGGCGTCAGATATCGGTGCGGGAGGCTGTGTTGGATTAGAGACTGGAGCAGGTGATTGTGTTGGATTAGAGACTGGAGCAGGTGATTGTGTTGGATTAGAGACTGGGGCAGGAGGTTGGGTTGGGTTAGAGACTGGTGTAGGAGGCTGTGTTGGTTTTAGAGACTGGTGTAGGAGGCTGTGTTGGATTAGAGACTGAGACAGGAGGCTGTGTTGGGTTAGAGACTGGTGTAGGAGGCTGTGTTGGATTAGAGACTGAGACAGGAGGCTGTGTTGGGTTAGAGACTGGTGTAGGAGGCTGTGTTGGATTAGAGACTGGGACAGGAGGCTGTGTTGGATTAGAGACTGGGACAGGAGGCTGTGTTGGGTTAGAGACTGAGGCAGGAGGTTCAGTCGAGTTAACTGTGGGTGTGGGTGGCTGTGAAGGGTTAACAATTGGTTCTGGTGGTGGTTGTGTAGTATCAGATACCTGTGCAAGAGGTTGTGTGATATTAGCATTTGGTTCCGGTGCCTTGGTGGTGCCTAATTGTGGTGAAGGCGGTTCAGTGGCGTCAGGTATTGGTGCTGGCAGTTTTGTGGGGTCAGATATCGGGGCAGGTGATTCAGTGATGTCAACTATAGGTGCAGGTGGTTGTGTAGGGTCAACAATTGGAGTTGGTGGTGGTTGTGTGGGACCAGATATCGGGGCAGGCGGTTGTGTGGTATTATCATTTGGTCCAGGTGCCTTGGTGGTGCCTAATTGTTCTGCAGGCGGTTGTGTAGGATTAGAGATCGGTGCAGGTGGTTTGGTGGTGTCAGCTTTTGGTGCTGATGCTGAAGAGTTGACAATCGCTGCAGGTGGCTGTGTAGGGTTAACAGTTGGAGCTTGGGGTGGTTGTGTGGCGTCAGATATTGGTGCAGGTGGGGATGATGGGTTAACTGTAAGTGTTGATGCCTTGGTGGTGTTTATTTGTGATGCAGGTGGTTGTGTGGGGTCAGATATCGGTGCAGGCGATGGTGAAGGCTTAACCGTTGGGGCAGGTGACTGCGTGACAGGGATGGGGGCAGGTACGGTTGTAGGCTCAGGTAGAATTGGCTGCGGAGACGGTGGTTCAGGTACGGCAGCTGTGGCTAGTTCTGGCTCTGTGGAGAAAAAACATAATACCTTGTTTGGTGAGAAGGGAAAAAGCCTACAGCCTTAGAAGAAATTTTAGTTTTTATGTGGTTGCAATTTTTACAATTATCTACTGAGCAGCCATTGAAATCATTTCACAATTCAACTATTTTAGTTCGTATATAACATGTTAGTGTATGAATTTAAATATATTGTGCAACAATTTTTGTGTGTTTGCGTGAGTGCACCTTTAGGTCTAACTTTTGTAACGTCTACTGCCATTGTTAACGACCAAGACAAATTTCTCCCTGCGAGATGAATAAAGATTGTCATTGTCATATTACAGATAACACTTAAAGCCTAACCCTTAACCTAGACCTAGCCTTAGTCAAAATATAAACCTAATTCTAAACCTAAACATAACCTTAATCCTAACTGTAACCATAACCCTACATCTAACAATTTTACTAACCCTAAAAATAACCCTTTTCACAAACCGAAATGTACTTCTTTTATCATATAAAGTAAAACCCTAACTCTAATCGTCAATCGAACCCTCATCATAAAATTAACCACAGACCCATACAACTTACGGAAAACCAAAATCAAACATGCCTTCCTCTAACGCTAACCTTACCCCTAACCTTAACCGTAACCCTAATCCTAACCCTAATCCTAATCATAAATCTACCCTCAACCTTACCCTAACCCTAATCTTAAATATAACGTCAACCTAATCTTAACGCTGACCCTAACTCTATATCTAACTTCAACCAAACCCTATCTAATCCTAACCTTACCCCTAACCCTAACTCTAACTCTAAATCTAACTTAAACCTTACCGTAACCCGAATCCTAACCCTAACACTAACCTTAACTTTAAATCTAACTTAAACCTTAATTTTTTTTTAGATTTAGGAAAAATACTCTAAAAGGTACCCTGAATCAAAATTATCTGCAAATTTCAATACGCAAATTTTGACCAATGTGAAGGGTTTTCTAGTACCGCCACACAACGAACAAGGCAAACTTCCGATCTCGCTCCCTCACTGAATTTGAGGGCTCCTCTCTCTTGTTCGAAAGTTTTATTTGACGTCAAAATTATTTCCTAGGAAAAGAGCCCCACCTGATTGCTATAAATAAATCGAATCAAAGTCTCCAAGTTTTTTTGGTGTAAAATGATTCCATGTCGTATGTACCTAGTAGGGGCTAGATTTCAAAAGCAACACAATATTATCGTAACAATAATGATAACTGCATTTATTTTGTGCGCATTCCCACACTCTACACCATGATCTCTGCGCAATACAACTATTATTATAACTATTATCATCCCCAGCACACTGAAGAACACGACTCCGCATATATAGTTCAAGCTGTTGATTCATCTAGTGTCAGATCTGCTACAGACATCGGCGATCATGGCTCCCCATTCATTCCTTTGCTCGGATGCTCTCAAAAAAGCTACGTTTCCCTGATCTTTCCCTGTTACCCACTTTGTTTAGGTTCCTTAAGTAGGTTGGTCTGGGCCTACCCCTGCATCGTTTACCTTCAATTTTGCCAGTGAGAGCTAGATGTTCAAGACCTGTAGGTTTTATTCAGGTGTCCCCAAAACTGCTTTGGAAATTTGTCGTTTCCAAAGCTATGGGTTTCACCAGCTAAAACACTAACACATTGAAGAGAATCTTTCTCGGAGACGTTTGACTTACCCTGGTTCTCAGTTGCTGGCGGTGTTAGCCTCGGAGGTGTCAATGTTGATGATACAAGTGTAGTGTTTCTGACAGTCGAGCTAGCTGGAGCTGATGGTGAAACGCTTGAGGGGTCGATTGACACAGGGGGTGGTGATGGTGATATCTCGGCGAACGTTGGTGTTGGTAGGGGCATCTCTATTGAAATGGTGGGGGCGATACTGGGTGATTCTGAGATGGGGGAGGAGGAGGAGGAGGAGGGGGAGGAGGATGCAGGCGGGACTGGTGTGGAGGCAAACATTGTTGTTGAAGGAGGAGGAAGAGAAGAGAATGTTGAGGATGGTGCTTGGGAGAAGATTGTTGAAGGTGGAGCAGGGGAAGATGGTTCAGAGGAAGATGGTGGTGGGGAAGATGGTTCAGAGGAAGATGGTGGTGGGGAAGATGGTTCAGAGGAAGATTGTTGGGGGGAAGATGGGGATGAGGAAGATGGTTTTGTGGTAGACGGTTCAGGCGAAGAAGGTGGGGAAGATGGTGGGGGAGAGGTTGGTTCAAGGGATGACTGTGGTGATGAGGAAGATGGTGGTGGGGAAGACGGTTCAGTTGAAGATGGTGGTTGTGTAGATGGTGGTGGGGAAGATGGTGGTGAGGAAGATGGTGGTGAGGAAGATGGTGGTTGTGTAGATGGGGGTGGGGAAGATGGTGGTGGGGAAGATGGTGGTGGGGAAGATGGTGGTTGTGTAGATGGTGGTAGGGAAGATGGTGGTGGGGAAGATGGTGGTGGTGGGGAAGATGGTGGTGGTGGGGAAGATGGTGGTTGTGTAGATGGTGGTAGGGAAGATGGTGGTGGGGAAGATGGTGGTGGTGGGGAAGATGGTGGTGGTGGGGAAGATGGTGGTGGGGAAGATGGTGGTGGT